TCAAGAGGGGAACTTCATCTTTTGATTGCCATGCTTAAAAGCTGCCCTTTGGGAGGAGTGAATCATAGGGATAAACTTCCTGCTAGAACAGCCCTGAATATTTACTGAGGCGCGTGTCCTTTTGTATTGTGTACCAGTTTCTGGATGGAAACACACAGTTAGCAAGAATAACCTGTTTTTTAAATGTTCAAATCAATGAAGTTGAATAGTAAAATGTTTTTATGATTTTGTTTTGTTGAAAATATATAATTTATATTTTACATTTACATTTTACTTTTTTTCTGCATTCTGTTTCTTTTAAGAAAACAGTAAGAAATATTTCTTCTAAAAATAAAATTTATACTAAAAACTAATTTGGAAGTAAAGGTAATCTGGGTGGGGATTTTCAGCCCACCCTGCACAAGCGCAGCAGAAATCCCCACGGCATCTCTCCTTTTGAGGTTGCGACAGTCACCCTAAAGGAGAATTGGGGGGAGGGGTGCCGGGTGGGGGTGGGGAGGGGGTGGCATGGGTCTGTTGGGTGCCCGGCCCAGCTTGTATGGATTCAGGCCTGGCTTGAGGATGAGCCGGCCGGCCGTGGGTCAGCCCTCCTGGGGAGAAGGACAGAGCGCAGCCCTCTTGCTGCTGCCGGAGCTCAGGGGCCTTGGCAGCGCTGGCCTGGGAATCCCCCTGGACGGCCCTCATGGGAGCTGGACATGTTGGTCCGCAGGGTCCAACTTGTGCTTGGGGGTGGTTCCAGGGAGCAGCCTGGGTGGCCTCGGCCAGCTGCCTGGCAGACGATCCGGGAGCATTGTCTGGGAACTGGAACTGCGTTCTGATGGGGTCGGATCTGGCGGTTCAGGAGTCCCAGGGCTGCAGCCGGCCATTCCCTGCTCCGAATGGGCTCCCCTCCCCTTGCAGGAGCGCCTAGTCGGGGCAGTTCCAGTTCCGTCTTGGCCACAGGAGGGTCTGGGGCCCTCAGTGGCCAGCCGTGCCCGTTCCTGGATTGGGCCGACCTGCCGCTGGGCTCCCTGCAGGGCGCCCCACAATTGGAGCGCAGAAGGGGTGTGGGGGAATCGACGCCGAAGAATTCCTGGGCTCGGTCCCCCGGACTCGGGTCTCGTTCATTGTATGGCCGAGTCCGAGTCCCTGCGCTGTGCGACCCCCGCCCGGAATCGGGGCCCGTGTGCTGTGCACGGAGCGCCCTTCCTTTGCGCCTCCTTGCGCTGCTCTGCAGACACGAAGGGGCGCAGCCAGTTGCGCAGCGGCATCCCGGGGCATCCGCGGGCGCCCCCTGCCACTCAGCTCCGTCTTGGGGGGGCGGCAGGCCGAGAGAAAGCCTGTGTGCCGGGGAGGCCAGAAGCCCCGCTGGTGCAAAGGGCGCAGCCACGGAGCTCCCGGGACGCGCAGCCGCCACAGAGGCCTTGGGGCAGAACCGCCTGGGGCCGATCCGCCGCCAAGGACCCACGTCCGCAGCCGACGTCCGGCGGGCCGACGTCCCTTGCTGGCACCTGGCCGGCCGGCAGGACCCCGGAGGAGCCCGCGCCGGTTGCGCCCAAGCCATCGGGCGCTCGCCATGCGGTGCCCCGGTGGCTGGTCCTCCTGGAGGTGGGGCTCCCTGTTGGGGGAAAGGGTGGAAAAAATATATATTCTTCAGGCACCTCGGGAAAGCGCCTGCTCACCAACGCTTTGCCTGCCCCGCCATCAATCGGCCCTGCTGGTTTAGTGCGTGGCTCTGCGTTGCCGCTATTACTGTTAGCATAGTTTTTTAATGGGATTGTAACATATGGAAACATTTAGGGATTTTTCTTAGTATTTGGTGGTATTGTAAGTAAATAAATAAGCAAACAATGTTGATTTTTTGCTGTTGTTGTTTAGAATGAATGCAGCATTTTGAAAGCCAGTGTGGCACAGTGGTTAGAGCATTGGGCTGGGGCTCAGGGGTTGTGGGGTTCCAGTCCCCACTCAGCCATGAAACTCATGGGGTGACTTTGGATGAGTCACACACTCCCGGGTTTTGGCATGAACATGGGTGGTTTGGTCCAGGGAAAGAGGTTATGGGACTTGACCTGCCTCTAAGCAGCACTCCCTGGCTTGAAATCACTGCTGTCCAGATCTCAGATATGCGAATGGGCAATATTGGCTGTGGTGGTTAATCTATGGTAACATGAACACTCTTCCTATGTTCAGAGGCACTCTTGTGTACCTGGCCTAGGGCAGATCCCACATCTGATGCTGTGCAGCAATAGCAGCCTGAAGCTTCTGGCATTTGGGTGATCCCCACTTGCACTGAGAATCACGGATGGGTGCAGGCTGAGAAATGCCCACTAAGGAATCAGAGTTGGGACTTTAAAATGAACCCTCAGCCTTTCCTCTGAAGAACCAAGTGCAACGGTCCTGTTTGCTAACTGCAGGCTAACTTTTGATGTGACACTGGGCTGAGGCATGGCCAGATGAAGAGTTCTGTGTAACCCAAAAGCTTTCATTCCTGCACTAGCAGCCTAAAATATATTTGTATCATGTATAATACATGCAATATTTCTGTATTTCTTTTGACATCGCCCAATAGCCAGAGCTAATATAGGCACCCATGAAATGGACATCATGTTGGCCTTTTTTAGTTGCATAATTGCCCTTTATCCCTCGGCTTGCATTGCAGACACCCGGGAAGCCCCGCGGGAGGGCGAGGGCGGGGCTGCCTCTCGCGTCGCGTCGCGTCGCTGCTCGAGCGTTCCTCGTGATTTCCAGGAAAGCGCCTGATTTCCGCCTCCGCTGCAGCGGCCAGCAGGGGGCGCTGCGGGGCCGACACGGGCGGGAGAGGAACGGGTGGTAAATACATTTTTCCTTTTTTGGTCTGTCCTGTCACCCAAGTCCCATTTTCGGATTTCAGCGTGGTACCCGCAAATTTTGGAGAACCCGCGAACAGAAGCGACAGCTTTAGGGTTGAGGTTAGGTTCCTGACCCGATCAGCGATCCCTCTTGCAAGTCCAGCTCCCCACTGCCCGGCCCACACCTAGATCTGCTGAGGCAGGCCTGTAAATTCTGCTGTGGGTCCTGCCCCCGCGCCCCCGGGCAGGCGCTCACACAGACCTTGACAGGTGCCTGCGCGGAAGGGGGCCGTCACTTAGTTTATGCTGCCTTTTAGTCCCTGACCCCGAACTCCAGGGGCTCCGCAGCCCCAAAGCTTCCCTCCTGTTGGAAAATACTGTGTGGAGTTTTCCTTCGAGAATGTTGCTCTTTTTCCCCAGATCAGACAGGGAGAGAGGTCGGCTTTGCTCGGGTGTTGGCTTGTCCCGAGCGTGACGTTTTGCTGGGAATGCGGCTTTGCGGAGGGCGCGTGGTTGGGGAGGGGGTCACTTCGCCCCCCCCCCCCGCGCCTGCCTCTTCCTGCACAGGACAGGAGGTTTACTGGGCCAAGAGGGGGCGCAGGGCAGGAGGTGGGTGGAGGCCGCTGGGCCATGACGGGGAAAAAGCAGAGTCTGCGGGGGCCAAGCATCAAAGGAGCACGGACCGCGTACTCAGACCCAAGGAACGACACGCAGCATGCAGGCGGCCCCCCAAGGGACTCCCAAGGCGGGGTCTGTCCTACAGTCTGTCCTACAGGCCTCGCCTGCCTTGGGGGCTGCCCCACGTCCGTCGCCATGCGCGGGACCCCCCCCCCCCCCCGCCGCGCCCCCCCGGCCCCCCCCCCCCTCCGCGCAGACTGCTCGCGAGGGGATTCCCCGAGCGGCTAAGTTTCGCTTTCCTTTCCAGCGCTCGCAGGCTGCCGACAGGACCTTCTGCCGGCAACTGCGCTCGTCACAGGAGGCCTTTTTTTCTACTGGTCGGAATTTCCCCCTCGGCCAATCCGGGCTTTCTGTCACCGAAGCCGCTGGGCCGGAGCTCCTCCTACTCGGCAGAGCGGCGCCCGCGAGCGGAGAGACGAGCGCGCTTCTCCTGTTTTGGAGTGAAATCCGAGAAAGCGGAGAAAAGGACACCCGGCAGGACACCCGGCGAAGATGCGGCGCCTGTGGCCGCTCGCTCTTTTCCTGTGGGCGGCGGCCCTCAGCGCGGCCCTCTGCTCCGGTGAGTCCCTGCGGCGCCCGGAATTGGCCCGGAGGGCCAGTGCGGGGTCGCGCTGCCTCTCGGTGTTGCGGCGCATTGGCTTCTTGCTCGGCTCACCTCGCAGTGTAAACCGGGTCAGCCCGCTTTCGATCCGCTTCCGCTCCCGCCACGCCTGCTGGAAATGGTTTGGGGTCCCCGGTCCCCCTTCCCAGAAAAGCGCGTCGGGATCGGGCTGCTAAATACATGGCGAGAAGAACGAGGCAGATCCACTAATCAACAAAAGAGTGGAAATAAAAATAAGTAAGGTGGGTGACATGATCTTCTCGGTTTGATCCTTCCAACCCTGTGAGGTGAGGTTGGGAGTCCGTGACTGGCCGAAGGTCGGTTCGTAACCGAAGGTGGTGCCGGGGGACTATGGCTCTGCGCCATGGCAGCTATGCCATGGAGTCCCACAGGGGTCCATCTTGTCCCCCTTGCTATTCAGCATCTACATGAAACCGCTGGGAGAGGTCATCCGGAGGTGTGGGCTGCGGAATCATCAATACGCTGATGATACCCAGCTCTACCTCTCGTTCTCCACCAATCCAGGTGAGGCAGTGGCTGTGCTGAACCGGTGCCTGGCCGAGGTAATGGGCTGGATGAGGGCCAATAAACTGAAGCTCAATCCAAACAAGACGGAGGTCCTGCTGGGGGGTGGTTCGAAATCCTGGGCAGGTGACTTGGATCTTGTCCTGAATGGGGTCGCACTCCCTCTAAAGGACAGGGTCCATAGCTTGGGAGTGCTCCTCGACCCAGAGCTGTCTTTGGAAGCTCAAGTGACTGTGGTGGCGAGGAGCGCTTTCCTTCAGCTTCAGTTAATCCATCAGCTGCGTCCCTACCTGGAGTATGACTGCCTAGCGACAATGACACATGCATTGGTTACTTCCCGATTGGATTTCGGTAACGCGCTTTAGATGGGGCTGCCCTTGAAGACAGTTCGGATATTTCAAATGGTGCAAAGAAGAGCAGCCAGGTTGCTGCTGGGGACTGGGCGTTATTCTCACATAACCCCAGTCCTCTACCAGCTTCACTGGCTCCCCATCGAAGTCCGGGCTCAATTCAAGGTGTGGTTATCACCTATAAAGCCCTTAATGGCTTGGGACCTGGATACCTAAAGGAATGCCTTTTTCCCTATTTGCCCTCCCGCCCCCTGAGATCGGCAGCAGAGGCCCTCCTCCGGGAGCCCTCCGTGAAAGACATCAGGAGGCAAAGTTCCCGGAGGAAGGCCTTCTCTGCGGTGGTGCACCACCTATGGAAAGTGCTCCCCAGAGAGGTCTGCCTGGCACCGTTGTTATTTGTTTTTCGGCGCCAGGCTAAGACCTTTTATTTAAACAATATTTTAAAAACTTTTAATATTATCTATAGGTTTTAATTTGCAGCCAGGGTGAATCTGGATTTTAGGTGCACTATTTGTACGGTTGTTTATTTATTGTATGGAAGCCATCCTGAGGTTTATGCGAATGGGACGGCATACAAATATTCTAAATAAATAAATAAATAAATCCCAGGATGGGGCTGCGCTGCGTAAGCGAAGACGCCCCTTGCGCGGGATCTGGCCGTGCCTGCAAACCGCTGGCCTGCTTGGAGCCACCTGGCCTGTGGACTCTGCGCCCGGCCAGATGCCCTGAGAGGGGGAGATGGAGAGAGGCCCCTTGGCCACCCCTGGGAGCTCAGCAGGGCAGGTCCTCACACAGCTCCATAGGAACCCTGCAGGGCTGTCACGGGCCCTGCTGTGGCAATCCAGTCCCAGCTCCATCTGCGTTTCCCAGGGTTGTCCTGTCCTGTATTCACACCCACACCCTCCTCAGTGGGAGGAACGACACTAGCCTACCTTGCAGGGCCAATGTAACCAGCACCTTTTCAGCCACGGTCCTGTCTCCTGCAATATGGGCAGAATAGTGATTTTCTTTATCTGCACGTGCCATCAAGATAATTCTCAAAATATTCATACTTTCAGGGGAAAAAATACACTAACAAGACCTGAGTGGGAAGATTACAACTCCCATCTTTGCTTCCTACCTTGTGTTTTTTTGGTAGCCGCGCCGCTGCCCAAAATCAGAGAGCGGGAATCCCCCCATGTCTGAATGGGGTGTTGTCGTGTGCCATGCAGTCGTCCCCATTCGGGGTGCCCCCTGGGTGAGGGCCCCGCAGAAGGCCCTGCCCGGACAGCCCTGCTCAGCTGGAAGAGTCGCTCCATCGCAGGCATAGTCTTCCTCTTCCTCTTCCTCTTTTGCATTCAGCTTTCCCCAGAATTGCCTTCCCCCTTGCGTCTAGTTTATTCAAGATGTGCCAGAAGTACAACAGCTGCAGATATGTAGCTTCAGTTTTGGCCTTTTTGGTCTTCAGAATTTCTAAATACGTTCCTTTAAAAATGCAGCTGCTTCCTAGCTCATGGGGAAGACCCTGGAAAGGCTTCGCACACTCAGTTTGCACATGCGTTAACTTCATCAAGGGAAAAGGGAAGACACGGAAGTGGGAGCTGTTGAATTTCTCACTAAATGGGCAGGCAGGAGAGG